AGCTTTTTAGATTTGTTTTAGACAGTTCATAGTTTGGTTTATGTATAAAAAATCCTGAAAATAGAGGTTTTTAATAAAATTATGTAAAATAAAATATATGTATTATATTGAATTTCATATTTTAAATATAGAGATGGAAAAGTCTTTTACATATATCAAATATTTTAAAAAATCAAAAGTCTAAGAAAAAAATGGGTTTCTAATGTTTAGAGGATAACACCTCATTATGTTTGGTTTCATCTTTAAGAATTAAAAATATTAGAAAATAATTTCCAAGCTCAATGCTAAAAAAGAAAAAAAAATCACAATAGACCGATCAAAATCAACAAAAACTCATATCATATTTGTTTTCATGAATGACGTCTCAAATCAACAAAAAAAAAACAAATCACATCCACAAAAACTGAATAAAGAAGAAGAATTGGGAGATTAAAAGAGATTATTATGCTAAACAATGTTAACTTTTATCATTAAGGATTCATATGCCATTTTATCCACACAAAAAAATCATATGCCTACATAATTCTAACTTGAGTGTGAATTATCCGACTAAAAGACGAAATATTATACTTACATAAAAAAAACTCTTACTATGATTAGTCTTATTGAATGACGCCTCAAATCAACAAAAATGCAAATCACCTCCACAAAATTATAACTGAATAAAGAGGAAGAATTGAAAGATTAATAGAGAGATTCATATGTTTGTATAATTCAAATTTTTAGTGTGAATATCTCCAATTAAAAGACAAAAATATTATACTTACATTAACAAAAACCCATATCATAATATTTCTCTTATTGAATGACGCCTCAAATAAACAAAAATGCAAATCACCTCAAAAACTGAATAGAGAGGAAGAATTGAGATGTTTTTTTTTCCTTAAACAATGTTACACTATTTCTTTAAGGATTCATATGTCACTTTATCCACACACAAAAACTCCATATGCCTACATAATTTCAACTCTAATGTGAATATTTCCGACTAAAAAAAGAAATATTATACTTACATAGGCAAAAACCCATACTATGATTTGTCTTATTGAATGAAACCTCAAATCAACAAAAATACAAATCGCATCTACAAATTTATAATTGAATAGAGAGGAAGAATTGAGAGATTATTATAGAGGTGTACCATGTAGAGAAGATGAAAAATTATAACCGAATAGAGAGAAATAATTAGAGTTAAAAGAGTACTTATTAGAGGGAACATGAATAGGTTGAAACAACCTAATTAAATGATCTTAAATGTGAATATGAAACATAAAAAAAACAAAAATTAAGGTAGGAAAAGCTTGAAAAAATGAGAAAAAAGATAAATCATTTTCTTGTTTTGAGAAGAGGTCACGTCATTACATGTGGTTTCTTCTTTAATATATATATATATATATATATATATATATATAGATTGTTGATCGTTGTTATCGTTAATTCGGTTTTTAATTGCTTATTTTTTCAAGACTTTTATATCATTGTAAACATTTCATTTGCTTGTATTAAACCGTGAACTTAACAACATAGATGATATAATACGATAGTATTTAATACAATATGGTTTAACTTAAATCAAAATCTTTCCTATCAACTTTAGAAACTGTGAGTCGTGAGGCACAACTATGGGCATCTCTTCACCTCATATTATTAGCAAATGGGACCAAACTCGATAATTCTTGGCTTTCATTCAAAATAACATGAACCTCTTTATTTTATTTCTTATTTGAATCTTTTTTTAAATTTGAAATTGTATTAAAAGTTTAAGTTTTTAAATAAATCATTTATGAATCTAATTCTTTTAGCTATTTGAAATGAAAAGAATTTTATTTTGATTACCGAAAAAGTCGTATTTAGAGGTGCATAAAAACCCAAAACCCAACTGCCAACCCAACCTGATTAACTAACGGCCTAGTCGATACAACACAACCATTAAGTTGGATTGTTCAAACGTCTTAAGAACGATCAAAGAATAAATTGTACCTTTTATCTCCAAACAAACTGCATCACCAAATGGTAACTCTCATCCCTTTTTTGAATATGTAAACTTATGAGAGCAACTTCACCATCACCTTGGATGGGGTGAGCCAAAGCTAAAATGGTTGATTGTGTCATTAACTTATAATTTTTGCTTCCTAATCAGCCTAATAAAATCCCCAATATCACTTAAGTTATCTGTAATAACTTAGGGGTTGTTTACCTAAATACTTATCCGGTAAATATTTACTGTTAGGAGTCAACACTATAATTTATTTTATTGGGTAAGATTATAGTACATCAAAACGTATTCCATGCAACTATTTTCCTGGTAAGCGCTTACTCGGGTAAGAGTCGTCACCCTCACTTACCGGGTAAGACTCTCAATTCTTATCCTCGTTCTTACCGGATAAGATTCTTGACCCTTGCCATGTTCATTCGGTGAGGAAAATTACCCGGTAAGTATTTACCGGATAAGCGTTTAGTAAACGGCCCCTTGGTATTTTAATCCGACCAATCCAATCTAACAAAGCTGAGCCTGAGCCCATATGGTTTGGTTTGAGTTATGATTTTCTTTAAATGACATATTTTTAGGTATTGTTTGTCAAACATAAACTAGCTTATAAGACGATGAAATGTTACTTGGAATAACTTATGAGAATCTTTTTGTCATTTTTTCCAATTATACCCTCATTAGTATTATTTATTATTCATTACTATTAATTATTAATGAATAAAACTATAAAAAAATATAAATTAACTATTACTAATATTAACAAATATTTATTAATATTAGTTGAAAATTATTAATTAATTTTTTATTATACATTAATATTAAATATTAGTTATTTAGAATTATTATTAATCATATCAATTATTTCTATATTATTACTATTTTAATTATTATTCAATATATTTAATTATCAAAAAACAAATATAATAATTATAATAATTTTTATATAAGTTACATGAAATAAAAGTTATACTTATTTTGTTTCATAGATAATAGAATTGTGTTAATGTTAACTTATTTTTAATAAAATATTTAATTTAGTTATTAACTATAGTTTTTGAAAAATTACCAATTAATTAGGATGTGTGAAGTTGATCAATTTTATTTTTATAACTATTATATGTAATGGTAATTTAAATCATAAATTAATGCATATTTTTTCGTAACTTTATAATCCACCCCTTCTAACCATAAGGATGGTGTCTGATTGGTTTGAGTTTAGCTCCAAAGATCAAAAGTACCTGGAGATCCCATGTTCAAATCAACTGAGGAATAAAAATCCCCTTGTGACTATGGAAATTCAAATGCGATGACTCCGGACAATTTGCAAAGCAGGTGATCGTCTTAGGATTAGTCGGCTTGCATAGCGGGTTGAATATCCGGGTTAATAAAAAAATAAATAAAAAATCGACCACTTCCTTGTGCGGGTAAGCATTCCATCTGGTCCACCAGCTTAACTGCAGACGATGTCGTTTAAATACCCACCTATTCTCTTCAAGCTTGATTTATGCAGAGAGAGAGAGAGAGAGTGTGTGAGAAAACGGAGAGCTGGGGAAAGGGGCATGAAGCTGATTCTAATTAAGAAACATGCCAGAAACACTACCTATACTTCTACGGCAGACCCCTTTTAGTCTCCGGCGCCGTTAAATACAGTAATTTCTGTTATTATTATACACACAGATGGGGAGAATGCGGATGTCGTCGGAAGACGTGGTATTGGTCGAGGAAAGTAAGAATTCCGGTGATCCAACCGTCGTCGCGGTGAATTGTCCCGATAAGGCAGGACTCGGTTGTGACCTGTTAAGAGTTGTCCTCGAGTTCGGACTCTACGTAACCCGTGGAGGTTAGCAAATTTCTCTTCAATTCCGAGTTTTCTTATTGTTAGCTGTTAAGATTTACGTTTCTGTTCAGAATCAATGCTCAAGTGCAAAATGCATATGAATCTGATAAAATTGATGCTTAAACATTGTGAAATTGCCAAAGGATGCTTGATTGTGATGGTTCTTACAAATTTTTGGTGAATGAAGTATGCAAATAGTATAAATATACTCGACGTTGATATCAGCCTGAAATTGATATGGCTACAACTACTAATTATTCTGTATATTTTAATATTTCCCTGAAATTAAAACGAAAAATACCACAATTTGCAAATTGGGCAATTTCAATATGATATGATCATATGATCAATTATGCATTTTAATCAGTCCATGATTAGTCTTATTGGTTTCAATTCAATGTGATATGATCATTTATCGAGATGATAATGAAAACAGTTTCTGTTACTAGATTTCTCTACAGACGGAAAATGGTGTTACATCGTTTTGTGGGTTGTTGCACGCCCAATCTCACTGAAAATTGATTGGCAGAGCTTCAAGAATCGTCTTGTATCTTGTTGTCCATCATGTTTGCCTGCTTTCTATCTCGATCAATTGTCTGGTAGTTCTAAATCACCTCCACTGTACCTGTTGAAGGTTTTCTCTTTTGATCGAAAAGGGTTAATTCATGGTTCGTACTTTTACCCTCAGAGTTTTCTTATTTCAATCCATTTTCTCCTAACTTGAATCTTGAAATTTTCTAATCTGAATTGCAACCATTGTAGATGTCACAAAACTCCTATGTGAACTTGAGCTAACAATTCAAAGATTAAAAGTGATGACAACCCCAGATGGCAAGGTCTTGGACCTCTTCTTCCTTACAGATAGCATGTAAGTCTTTTTCTTCTTTATAATTACTATATAAATCACTACAACAGACTCGGCTTTATAGGATGCCAAAAATGTCATAATAGACTGTTTTACAAGACTTAAGTTAATAGGACCAAACATTTGAATGTCTTATACAAAGGTGTTACGATAGGATGTCAGAATGCATTTTGGACATCCTTACAAGTTTTTAAGGACAATTTTTTTATATAGTGTCCTATTAGCTTTTTTATAGGACATTTTAGAGAAGCTTCCTATGAACACATTTTTTATAAGACGTTTGTTTTTATAGGACAAATTTTCAAATAATGTCATATAACAATACTAATATGACACTTTCTATATTAAAATTGTCTTAAAAACTTGTAAACATACCTAAAAGCTTACTATCAATTTATCGTAATACCTTTACATAGGACAACAATTGATTGCTTCTATAAACTTAAAAGACTTATAAAGCAGGAGGGTTTTCATAGATAGAAGGAGCGTGTTTATTTAATTGCAAGGGGCAAGTTTGGAAAAAACTTGGCTTTTTGCATAAAGCACCCCCCCCTGAAAGTTTACTGAATAAACCACTTTCTATATCATCCAGTCACTACCAAATAGTCATGTATAGAAATAAACTGGGAATCCCATTAAGCTGCTAACAAATAGGCCTTTAGGCATATTTGACGTTTTATAAAGCCAACTTTCTTGTAGTGGATGCTGTTTGTGGACATGGATGTTAGCTCTTAAGTGATGTTTAATGTTTTCAATAGGAACATATTACACTCGAAAATTGGACGAGAAGAAACATGTGAGCACCTTAATGTCGTGTTAGGCGAGTGTTGCATCAGCTGTGAACTTGAGCTAGCAGGACCCGAGTATGAATGTCAACAAGGGTCTTCTTCCATTCCTGAAGCAATTGCAGAAAAACTGTTCAGCCCTGCCATGGACGATCGTCCACAAGCTCTCAACTATGCATCTGAGGCTACTGTAATAGTCGATAATCTACTGAGCCCAGCTCATTCGTTGCTCCAAATACGATGCCGTGATCAGAAAGGTCTCATCTACGACATTTTAAGAATTTCTAAGGATTGTGATATTCAGGTATAATCATCTTGTTTTCGTTACATTTTCACAGTAGACTAGGTTTAGCTTCAATTACGAATGTAATTGACTTTCAGAAGATTAGTTCAAGATATTATTCAGTGGATTTAATTGTTACATCATTTTGCATATGTTTGCAAGTATTAGTTAGTGTACGCGGTCTTGATACCTGCTTTTATGGTTTGTATGTACATATGTGTATGTATGATTTGTTAAAGTTCGTGAAGTAAATAGACGTGTGTTCCTAGTGAATAACTTGTGTTGTTCATATTCAGATTGCATACGGAAGGGTCACTTCTAGCGTTAATGGGTACCGGAGTTTGGACCTATTTATTCAAAACGAAGAGGGGAAAAAGATTGTGAATAGTGAGAAGCAAGTTGGTCTATGTTTGCGGCTGAAGGAGGAGATGCTACATCCATTGAGAGTTATGATCAGCAACCGCGGCCCTGATACAGAACTTCTGGTTGCTAATCCCGTCGAGCTATCTGGGAAGGGAAGGCCTCGTGTCGTGTATGACGTCACTTTTGCATTGAAGACACTTGACATATGCATCTTCTCGGTAAGTAGTATTAATCATCTCTCATGCATATTTTCCATAATTTGTTGATGGATTTGTGACCTGCAGGCCGAGATCGTAAGACATTCAACATTAGATCGGGAGTGGGAAGTGTACCGATTCCTATTAGTCGAGAATGGAGGATTTGCAGTAAGCAGCAAAGGAGGTAAACAGGATGTGGTGGATGAAGTTAGAAGAAGACTGATGGGGTGGTAAGTGGTAAAGCATTAAGCAGCAAGTGTTAGATGGAGGAGGATGTTGCTTAATTTCAGCCACCTTGTGGATAACATGTTCTTGGAAGCTAAATGTTTTGAATTTGGTAACTTTTACTAATCTTACTGGTTAAGATTCTAACAAAACATGACAGAATATGGATCATTGTTCCACCTTTGACAACACTTTTATGTGACAAAGATAGAAACAAAGTGTTGAAACAAACCTATATTTTATGAATATAACCTCAAAATGAAATATAATTCTATTCTAAAACATCAAATGCGGCTCACACTATATTTTATTCATTATTTTAATTTTATTTATTGTATCTTATATTGTTCAAAATTTCAATTTATTGTCCTCAATACGATTGAGGTTTATAAATTTTGGTTTATTTATATAATTTATTAAATACTAATAATAAAAAATGACATAAACCACAAGGGTGGTGCCTGATTGGTTTGAGCTTGGCTCCAAAGGTCAAAGGTACCAGTAGGTCCCGGTTTCAAATCCAATAAGAAATAAAAATCCTCTTGTGACCACGGAGGTTCAAATGCGGTGACTCCGGCTATCTGCAAAGCAGGTGGTCGTCCTGGGATTAGTCGGTTCGCATAGCGGGTTGGATATCCAGGTTAATAAAAAAAATGACATAGAAAATGCATAAAATAATCAGAAAGTACATAAACATTCTATTTTAGTGTCATTTTAATCATCTTGACGAAAATTTTCTAATGATATATTTTCTTATAAAAAATATTTATCTGATTATAATTTAGTAAATCACATAAATGAATCAAAATATATAAAAGATATAAAACAACTCATTAGAGATAAATTAGTCATTTTATCTGTTCTATCAAGTCACGTCCAACTATATCTTACCAAACATTATATAGTTGATCTATCCTACCATCTTTTGTTATGCCCCACCTGTCTAGATACCAAGCGCAATAACATCAAATGGAACAATATTACTCGGTTAACGCTTAATAGTAAAAATAGTCTCCTTACTGAGATTGTTCGAGAGACATGGTCCAAGTCCGGTACGAGGATGACTCCTTGTTTTTTTATCAGATAAAGATTTTTATCCCTTACCATGTTAATCCAATAAGTGGTTGATAAACCCAAAATCACCCCCCCCCCCTTCAAAAAAAAAAAAACGAATAGTGACTAAAATTAAAGTATAGGGGTTTAAAATGTCAACTGATAGAAGTATGTGGATTAAAATGCACATAGCCCTTTCTATTCATACTACCAGTGAACTCACTGATTCGTCCATCTATTAAATTCTTCTTCCTGTTCCCCCAATTCTTAAAATGAATACGAATCTAGGGTTTCAGCTTTCCACCTGGCGCTTCAATTTCGGTTGAACTTTACAACCGTATCGATAAATTAAGGTCATTCTTTTATGAATTTAACAACATGATTATACTCATCTCTTGCGATTTTGATTCTATATTAACGTTCGTCACTGTTCTCCACTGGTCGCATTTTGTTCCTTCTCTTTGATTTACTCGTGAGCTAAATGTAAATTGTTGCTCTTTTAATTTGATTTTAGATTATTCGATGCATTCCTCCTTGTAAGAGGTACAATTTGTCCATCAAGGTCCAATCGGAATGGATTTGGATTCTGATACCCATTTAACGTCAATATTTCTTTTACCTTGCATTTTTTTTGTCGTAAGCAATTCTGAACGTGAAAATAAGAAATGTACCTCCTGTGTTTTAGTGATGGGAGCATTTGGTCTTACTGATTTAATCGCATTCTTCATAGAGAAAAAAGCTTCGATTATAATTGTTTGGTTTTGGAAGAATTAAGATCATCACATGGCTATCTTGAATTATAATGAATTGTTTAGTTTGTTGGTTTTGGGTAGATTCATTTGGGAGTTGACTCTTTGGGTGATTTTTGGCTGCATATTTTGACTATCTTTTTCTTTTTTGAAGTATATAATAATTATATACGACAAATGGAACAAAAAAACTCGCACACCCTCCTCACATTTGGTGAGGTTAGAACCCTTACTCTCATACCGTTAGGCCAAAGTTCCTTTGGTTTGAGTATCTTTTTTTGGTGGTTGCATGTTGTTTATGAAGTATATCATACCAGGTATTTGATTTTTTTTTCTGAATATTTTTTGCCCGAGTAACATGATCATCGTATTTGGTCTGACCGATATTATCATCGTATTTGGTAGTTGTATGGGGTTCTTAAAATGTGTCAAGTGTACAGTTTATTGGCAAGTTGTGGTAAATTTGTTTTGGAGATGACATTTTGGATGATCTCTTGTTGCCTGTTTTCTGCTGCTGCTAAATTTGGTATATGATGGATTTCTGAATATTTTACATTCAAGTACTTCTGGTGTTCAGTGTGCAATATGAGTCGGGACAGGAGCAGAAGTCCTGGTCTAGCCAAGCGGTTCCGCAGCAGAGACCGAGCTGCTTACCGTGATGCACCTTACAGAAGGGACAGGCCTACATACCGGTATGCTTGTTAGATATACATTTTCAAATTTAATAGATAATTGAAAGGAAATGAGCCATCAGTAGATATCAAATGGCGTAATGAAGAAGGGAATGTATTAACCATATGATGGACCATGATTATAGATTAAAATCCAGCATGGGTTGCACAATTATAATGTCAATGCACATTGCTTTAGTGATTGATGGTCTAAATAATAGGTACATGTTGGCCTTAATTTTGTGTGAATTTTTATGACCACCACTCCTTATGGTCAAGACAAGGGTTTCTACTTATGGTATAGGGAGATATAGTGAAATAGCAGGGGAGAGCTAATGGAAATCAAGATATCACATAATTCTCAAAGCGATCAATTTGAATGTTCCCAAACCATTGATTGGGAAATTCTTTATAATGGCCATTAGATCAAATTTTACAGAAAGTGGGCGGAACCACAGCTTGGTGGTATTCCCAGGCCCCCAACAAAAGAGTTCCATGAAGCTGATTTATTTTTCTTTTAAACAATATTTCCTATTGGGCCCCCAATAAGAAAATGCCACGTGCCCCCAACCTGATGATAAGATCTTGTGATTGCATTTCTTTCACTGTCAAAAACCACCATCTCTCTCCGTGATCTTTTGAAATCCAAACGACCATACTCCACAGACCACTGGTTCACTCGCTCTCAATCGATCATTGACGCCTCGAGTATTCACCATCGGTCACTCTCAATCGCTTATCTCAATCACTCACAATCAATGGATCGTCCCTGGGTTGACTCACTCTCACTTGACCATTATCTCTACTCTCTTGGGCCTCAACTCTGTCCAAAATCGATAGTTGGTCTCTTAGTTCTCCTTCTCCACACAATCTCAAAGCAACCCATAAAAAAGAGATCGAACCAAGTAAAAATAGTCAAACTTTACCCCAACACCCAAATATGAACACAAACGTATTCGTAATGCGTGATAAACACGAACTCTCAACGGAACTGAGCAAAAATAGTCGAACTTCAATCTAATGTGTATGTATTGCTGGGAGAATATTTAATGATATATATATATATATGGAGAGCACACCACCGAATGAAACCTGGAAACTGCTTAAAGGAACCGCCTTAGCCCCTGGGGAGACTTCCCCGGAGGCTAAGGCCACATGGGAAGTTGCCCGGCTTCTCAATGCAAATCAAAACAGTGGGGAATATTAGTTCTCGAGCGGGTTTAGAGGCATGGCAAGCCGCCCGACTTCTTATTTCAAACAGTGAGCAAAGTGGGTAAGCATGCGACTTCTTATATTGTGCCCCCAACAATAATTTTTCTGGATCCGCCATTTGAGGACCAAATAAGGAAACAACTTAAACAGTTAACCAAAAAGAGTTGTTTTTGGGTTATTGTCAGCCTGGTTGAGTGCTAATACCAAGATGGAAGGCAATTGTATGAAGCCGCAGACGGTCAAACTACATGAGTAATGTTCTCAGGGGTATGATGTTTCTTTAGTAAACAAAATAGGCCTTACAAGGATGATCAGACAATACAAGAGGATGAGATGCTTTTTAGTATAGACGGTTTATGCTTTCTTCCTTTTTCTGTGAGCTAACCATTTTAAACTGCATCTCGCTATTCATTCAACCACAGATAGATACGATAGAATGACGAGATTAAAACCCTAAAACATATATCTTGAAATTGTAACTTAATTCTAGTTTGATGCTTACAATTCTGAATTTTGTTTATAGTTGAAAATTAGAACTTTCCTGTTGATGACACTGTTATTTCACAGGCAAGATTATCTGTGCAATAAATGTAAGCGACCTGGACACTTTGCCAGAGATTGTCCAAATGTGACTGTCTGCAACAACTGTGGTCTTCCTGGGTAAGATGAATATCCTTTCGCTACATTTATTTCATGAGTTGTTTCATAAATAAATTGACAGCTTATCCGTCGCTGTACCAAACTGCCATTATTCGATCAAACAACTGCCAAATGTCAAGCAGATAATCAATTCACCTATTGTTGATGTGCAATGAGGGTGTGTTTGGTACGTGGGACAGGAAAATTTTGTTGTTCCACGTTTGGTGCGATACTAGACTGGGACGGGACAAGACTGAATAGGACAAAATCGTAATTTTGTGATAAACTACTAAACTACCCATGTCAAATTAAAACCCTAAAGCCTTGCACAGTATTTTCACCTGCCTATCTTACTCTTACCCATCCGGTCAGCGTATCAAATGCATCCTGATTGTTTTTAATCAAGCATCTTTCAGTAATAACATATTTGAATCCCTAAGATTAACATTTTACGTCTCACTTCTAGTCATATTGCAGCTGAATGCACGTCAACCACCATGTGTTGGAACTGCAAAGAGTCGGGACATCTTTCAAGCGAGTGCCCCAATGATCCCGTTTGCCATATGTGTGGCAAAGTAGGGCACCTGGCTCGTGATTGTCACAACCCAAGCGTTTCGTCCTATGATGCTCGTCTTTGCAACAACTGCTATAAACCTGGCCACATTGCTGCTGACTGCACCAACGAGAAGGCTTGCAACAACTGCCGAAAGACCGGGCACCTTGCTCGCGATTGCCATAACGATCCAGTATGCAACATTTGCAGCATATCTGGGCATGTAGCACGCCAGTGTCCAAAGTCTGGCTCTGACCTGCCGAGCCTGCCAGGCCCGCTTAAGCATGGGTCATCGAGCTTGATGGGCCCACTGGGGACGTCATCGATGATGGATGACCCTTTCCGGGATATGATTTGTCGTAATTGTGGTCGCCCTGGTCATATCAGCCGCGACTGTGTGCCTATGGTTATCTGCAGCAATTGTGGTGGTCGGGGCCACCAGGAAATCGAGTGCCCATCTGCCCGGATTTATGACCCGTTTGACCGTGCATTTCTTGATCCACGCTTTCGTAGGTACTGAAAGAATTTTGGATCAACTCAATGCATGGGCCCACGGGTGGCGGGTTGGACTCACCCTGAAGCTGTGATGTGCATTTGTGGAGGTCCGTGGTGTTTCAAAGTCGCTTTCTGTAGAGCGGTTGGATCCTTGTTTGCTATAGCCATAGTGTAGCTCCTTTTTACTACAAAGTAGTTTGCTAAAAATGTTGAAAATTTTGAGATCTTTGGTGGTATTATTGGAGATAAATAGAACTTTTCTGTTTGGTTTTTCAGTTCTGTATATTTTTTGAAGTTAACGGTTGAATCATTTCGATAAGGAGTTTTTGTATTAACAAAAGAATAAAATAAGATGACTAACGTATATTGTGTCTGTATATATAGAGAGAGTGGGGTGTCTTCCGACCTCCGGCCACCTTCCTCCGGTGATACCTTAGTGTGATACTCGAGCACATATAAGATGCATTGTAATACCACTGTGGTATCATCGGAGGAAGGTGGCCGGAGGCCGGGAGACAGAGAGAGAAGAGAGGAGAGAGGAGAGAGGAGAGAGAAGATAAAATATATAAAATGTCCTTGCATTAAAATTTTAATTAAAAATTACCAAAATTATAAATTTCATAATTTATTTATTGATTTGTTGTTGAGATTGGATTTCAGTTACCACAAACTACTCAGTTCTTCCTTGAATGGGTCTATATATATATAAAGTCGGTTCAAACGAGAACTATACCTATTTTAGAAAATATGAAAGCGGCAGAATCACATGTGATTTTACACTAACATCTAGTACAAACTTACGTGACTTGAAGATGCAGCCAAAGTCGCCTGCACACCTTTTTTGACTATTAATATAAAATCAAATGTGATTTTGCAAGTGATTCGACAATTTCCGTATTCTCTTAAATAGTTAGCATTTTTGTTTGATCATTCCTCTCTATATATGTACATATCGGTTTCCCGGAAACATGGTTGATCCTTGAACTTCGTTTTTTCTATCAAGTGAAATAACAAAATAAGCATTGTAATCTTGCTACATAAGGTTTTACTGGGTAGCACGAGACTCTCGAATAAGTTCTTTAAATATGATCACATGATACAACAAATTAAAAGAGGCGATGAAGATGTCAACTTGAATCTTACACTTAGAAATCAATTTTGGTAGAATGAGAGCATGAGTCAGCAAAGATGGGAATGTCTAAAAAAAAGCTTGAACTGATTAAGGACCGACAGTCTAGACCGGTGATTGATCCAACCTGATTAAGTAATGGTCTAGTCTAGAAGGCTAGGGGATTGTTCGATTCATTTTTCAATTACATGAAATGGAACTCAACAACTAAGTATTTGAAAGGAACAAATTGTGACCCAACTTTTGCCTATATTTAAGGAGACACAAACAACAATAGAAATCCTTACATGTTGCTTTTAATGGGAAATTACTCTTAAGAAATTCGAGACTATTTGATGCTTTGGTTATATGCTTTTTCATATTAAAATCCTAAGAACAAACATAACTTGTCTTTCCAATATCAAATTTCAAACCAAAAACTCTATTAAATAGGTTAAATAAGTGTCAAAATTTTCCCAGATTCTATTTAGAAGCCGTTTACCAAATGCTTACATGGGTAAGCGCTTAACAAGTCATATTACCTTACCAGATGAAATAACAAGGACCAAGAATCTTACCCAGTAAGAGCAAAGACAAGGACTCAAAGTCTTACTTGGTAAGTGATAACGACGACTCTTACCACGGTTAGCGCTTACCGGGTAAGTTATCACATACAATGTCGTTTGTTGGACTCAAATCTTACCAGGTAACTGAACGATAGTGTTGAAATTTACCGGTAAGCACTTACCGGATAAGTGTTTATGTAAACAACCCCTTAGTGTAACATTGACCCCTTTTCACAACTAGTGGTAGGAACTTTTCAATTTTTCTTATTCCATATAAACTTCGACTAAAAAACGATAAATCCACTAAACAGATGATGTAAATAGTAAGTTATCAAGTTATATTACAGTTTTGATTACATGATCAAATATCACATAGAAAACCAATGTCATGATGATTGAAAAACTGTTTATCAGGTAAAATAAATATAACCGAGATACATACGATCAAGGTGGTATATCTTCAATATGAAGATGAAAATTGAGCTCAAAATCAAACAAAAAACTGGAGCATTTGAAGAGAGATGTATTGCACACACTAACATAACTGGAAACCCTTTTAAATGGCTGCTCTTCTTTTTGTCAAAATAAAACATTTCTATTTAGAAAATTTTGCAAGTGTTCTACTTCAAAAAAAAATATTAGATATATTACACCAATGAAGCTGACCAAAAATCTTTCGGAAATAGTTGCTTCTAGCAGTGTCTAAGGGACGGTTTACTTACGACTTAATGAGCTTAATGGTCTGAACGGCTTATTCACCCAGCCATACAAGATTGTCTATTTGTGGCTTAAGCATTAAGACATTAAAGTTGTTTTCTCATCAAGCCCTATACGGATTAATTTGTACGTATATATCAAACTAAATTGTTATTTATTTGTTGTGTTGTCTGAACGTAACTATTTTACCCTACCCTATTGGTTTTTTCATATTCTTCATCACCAATCACGTCAAATAGAAATTCCAATGAGAAAATTTCAAATGCCAAGTAATTTGTAATTGTTTACTGTAGCTAGTACATCACCCCATAGGCTTATTTGCATCGGTTTTTATTAATTCCCAATTCGTATCAGAATGCAAACAGCTATTGTGGGGAAAAAGAGGCTATGTATAAATAGAATCCAACACCAGTGACCTTTACAAGCATCCAAAACTCATGGATTAAGGACCCATTTATTGAACCCAATATTGCCCATTACCAAACCCATGAACTAAAATGAAATTCTTGGATAAGAGCAAGAAAAATCCAATAATGTCTGCTAGTAATAGCTTGACCTAAAATCAATTCAATCACCCGTTTTGAACTTTCCAAACAGAAATAAAAAATAGGGAACCACACCACACAAAACCCATATTGGCCGAATAGACGACGCTATTACCTGTATTTGGCAAAGAAAAAGCTAAGGCAACATCAGAGCAGAACAGAGATGGAGAAGGATTGGTGGAGAGCGATGAGCAAGTCAATGGAGGAGAAGCAGGTCGTTTGATGGAAGAGGATGACCGAAAAGAGTCATTGAAGGCGTCTATTAAGAGTAAGGGCAAGAGAAGTCAACTTGATGGCTTAGTGGATAAAGCAAGGTACAATGTGCTTAGCGAATAAGCCATTCTCTTATCAAATAAGCCACCACCAAACACCCATATATATGGTTTACCAAATAAGCCAAACCGGTTATTAAGCTCATTAAGTCAATACCAAAATGGCTTATATGGAATAAACCAGGGTCCCTCACTCGTCCCATTAAGCACCTCAAACAAATTAATACCAAAGATGCGCTAGAAATAATCCAACCCTCTCTTGCCTCCCTCAAAACATAACACTTTTTTATCAGACAACTTAACTTATACAGGGCTTAATAAAAAAGCAAACAGCTTCTAAGTCCTCTAATCCCTGCAAACATACCTACTGAAGCACGACCCAACCACTGATAGACAATGGTTTTGGTCAAGTAAAACCCACCAAAGTCATAGCGAAACAAGCAGTCATAGGCAATCAGGTCAGTCTAGATCTAGAGCTAGCGACGACAGCAGAAATGGATCAGACACAGTTACTAACCGAATAACATAATCTGAATGATGAAGTCAATCAAAGCATTTCTATTGAAACATGAAAGATGGCAAACAAACTAAACGAACGCCATAACAGTTGATGCAGTGGTTCTCTTTTCTGAACCCAGCATCAATTTCACAAAAACAAGCAGATACTAGCATTCATAAACTCGAGAATATAATTGACTTGCTATGAAAAACTAAGGAAGTGTTTCCTTCAGAATAGAAGATTGCATGGTTCAAACTGTATACAGATGTGCTTCAAATTGTGCAAAGATATGCAAGACATGCAACATGAATCTTATGGCAAATAGCTCAATTATTGCAGCCAAGTTCAGCAAAACAGAATGCATTAATTGAAGCAGTTCTTAGATATTAAAAACTTGAACACGAGTTAAAAGCCAGTGGATGGATCTTACTTCAAAGCAATGCCTCCACCTGAATACTCGACCTCATGGGCGGGGGATAAAGATGAAACCCAATCGGATGCATGGGTCGGAAGAAGGCCCAGAGTGTTTAGCTTCCAGACACCAAGCAGCATACCCCCTAAATTAAGGGCAATATATAGTAACTTGGGTGCATTGAGGTCTACTTTGCTATCTTTGTAAGGCTCAAAAACCTTCCCAACCCCTTGAAGAGCACTTAATGGTTGCCAAAGGGCTGAAAAAGTTATGCCGATGCTAAACAAATGCACTGTGCTTCCGGCCATCCACATCATAAATCCCATCATAAGCAGATTCTTGAAGGGGGCCTGGGCGACTTCCCATGCTTTCTGTGATTTCCAATTTGCTTCAGCATCCTTCTTTTGACGACTCAGAGTAGAATCATCTTGGTCATGGGAGGCACGAGTGAAACCAGGTGGGTCAGGAATGTCACGGGAGGATGGTGTGGATGAATTGTCTGTAAAGTCAACGGCCCATTTTCGACCTCCCATCACTCCTTTCCCTTTCTCCATCTATTAAACAGAAGTCCAATTTGATGAGTGGGCAATATTAGTTTCAATGTCACTCTTGCATGTGTATGCCCATACAAATGGATTGTGATGGTACACGCACATTTACATATGCCAGCGAGGAAAAAGAAATTTAACAAAATTAGATGTTCTACAAATATGAATTTGAAATCAATTTATCCGGTTTATCTAATATTTAACAAGCTGAAAAGACAAGAAAAAAGCTCAATGGTTGCCCTGAATAGCACAATGGTGCAATTGAGAAGTCAAAGCTGTTAGCACTAAATCTTAAGATAGAAGTGTGGCCAGTAATCGGTATGGGAAGAAAGTACATGGACAATAGATATGTTCTGAGAATCCATATCTGAGGCACCAAAAACGGTTTTGCCTCTTCCATCCCTAAACTTCCACTTTCAGGTTTTAAATTCACGTTCACTTATACAGCGAGAACTTCATGTAAGTAATCACAACTGAATGAGTCACAATATGGCCCCAGAATCAGCAATGATCAGACAAGATGCACCACAGCAAACATGAACTGTATACAACCAATCAAACAATCAACAAAGACAGTAGTAGTAACTAGCCACTAACACAAAACCTAAATCGCATATAGCTACCAGATAAGACATGCTTTTTTATATCACTGCATGTCCATAACTTAGGCCAACAAGGTACCCTCGATGAGTTATACAAAAGATAAGCGTTTTCTTGCACTCTTCACACTCTTCACTCTCACATGATGCAGAACCAACCGAGTCTGTTTCAGAGTTGAAGCCTTCACTTATATATTTTGTGCTCAAGGTTCTTATGTCCACAAGTGAGTTGATAATTCTTGAATTGCTTTCACATCAAAATTGCAACCGAATAATATCTGAAAAAGTTAAGTTGATAAAAAAGCTTCGATAACCTTTGGGATACATTGATATGGTGATATTTGATTGCCTAATAAGCTAGGGTAGTGTTTTGGAGGTGTGGAGTTGAAATTAAAGCTCATTCAGTTCGAAATATGAGGCTATTTCATCCTAATTCCAGGTACAAGCCATGGAAATAGAGTAATGAACCTCTAACTACCTACTATTGATGCCTCCAAATCAAATTACAAACATAAGCAAAATCAGTTCGGATTTTCAAGCTACCCTAGAGAAGCTTCTGTTCCAATTCCAAACCTCACCTTAGAATCCAACACTTCTCAAACCTACTCCAAACCTTCTAAACTGTTTATAACTTGATGTTATCGTAACACAAACCCTACAACTCGATTCAGCAGATAAACAAGTCCTCCATGCATTTTAGATCCAGAAAACCCTTCCAAAGTTCAAAATCAATTCAAAACAAATTAATATATCATGTATTAACTAAACACTTGACAATTTATAAATAAAATCATAAGAAATTGGTATTTGATAACGCATACCCCAAAATACTACCGACGATTAAACCAATGAAAACTCGAATTAGACTAGACACACGAGAAATATAACACATGAAGATCAAGAGATATAGATCAAACATACCAATATCCGTAATAAGATAGAAGCAGCTTGAAGCTCCAATTTTTATGTTCGATCGTCAAAAGGGGCGAAGACGGAAACCCTTGGGCTTCAAAAAAGATGGGAGGATTGATGGAGACTCAGACGGTAATATACGGCTCGTTTGACCTGAATTAACTTCGACATGACTATAATAAGTTTTAAGTATTGACAATATTAACCCAATATTTTGGGGTTTCTTTCGGTTTAATCCTGAAAGACTCTTCCCTCCTCGATTTTATACTTCAATACATTTATTTGGGCAAAAAATTAGTTACCTGTAATACCAATCAATCCCACATAGAAGATGCCTCCAAACACACCAACATAAGGAGCATTTATTGAATCACTTAATGGTTGAGGCTAGCACGAGTCGAGATCAAACTCATGACATGTCTTGTATTTTGACAAAGTCATCCCCGTCTATTTACCAACTGAATTATACGTCAGAAGCACTTTGACACACATTACTAAAACCATTGAATCAAATCAAACCAAACCATCATTAATTATTTCTGTGCATCTTAGTTCATAAACTTGTAACCAAGTACTGGTGATTTGGTTCCCAATTTGAAACAAGTTTGAACCCTTCATGATTCTCCTCTGAAACCTAAATGATCGCACCATTTGTTGTCTTGCTTTTGAGTTATTTTTGTCTTGTTAACCAAATCGAACTCAGTAATTTTATAGAGATAGGATGTGGAAGTATGATATATCGAATAAAAAGGCTAAATATCATGAAAATGGATCATATATGAATCATTAAAAAAATCTATTTGAAGATGCATTCGTGAACTTATATGAAAAATCTGTAACTTTGATTTATATATGCATCTTCAAATAGATTTTTTCTCATTGTCATTGGATTAACATATAAATTCTCATTTCTTATATTCTCACAAAGTTCAGATTCCTTATTTGAACCGTCCCGTTTAATCTAACAATATAAAATTGAGAGATTGTTTGTTACCTCTTAATAGCTTCACTAAGAGACAACATTTGAATCGTTAAGAGGTGAATCTTGTTTGACAAAAACAATGTTTGCATCTTAATGATTCTAAAACTATATGAATGATTTTGTATTATAGGTCTCACTTAACCATTCAACACCCTAATTTCATTATAAACATTTACCAAACAATTATATTTCATTTTGCACTAAATCATGATAGTCTCTTAATCATTTCAACCACTTAATTATTTTGTACCAAACCATTCAACAACTGCCAAGTAACCCCTGATTCACATTGTTAACGTTACTAGATGCAAAACAACCTAGACATGCACCAATTACATATACATGCATAAATACATATCAAAAATTTTATGCACATATATTTTTTAGGATAACCATGTGTTTTCGGTTCATCTTATATGCACTGACTAATTCTTTGGGGGACCACGAATGACCTGAAATTAGTGCTAGTGAACATTCATGACCTCAGGGCTTTGACAGCGCATGCATACATACCGTAGACACTAACAAGTACACAAACATAATTATTCGTGATGTAGAAGTCAAACTAAACATGTTTGAAGTGTTTAAGTGTATGCTTTTATGTTAGTTTTACGAATTTGATTAACGATCGTGATGTTTTTTTTTAAATTTGATTAAAATAAGATAATCATGTTTTAAAATTTGTAATAGATTTAATCTAATCAACTTTTTTTAAGAAATATACTAAATAATTTTAATAAAAAATTTTACTTTAATTATTAA